TTTGGGGTTCAGGGTTAGGGTTCAGGGTTCAGGGTTTAGGGTTCAGTGTTTACGGTTCAGGGTCTAGGGTTCAGGGTTTAGGGCTTAGGGTTTAGGGTTCATGGCTTAGGGTTTAGGGTTCAGCTCTAGGGTTCAGGGATTTGGTTTAGGGTTCAGGGCTTAGGGTTTAGGGTTCAGCTCTAGGGTTCAGGGATTTGGTTTAGGGTTCAGGTTTCAGGCGTCAGGGTTCAGGTTCAGGGTTCAGGTTCAGGTTTCAGGGGTCAGGGTTCAGGGTTCACGGTTTAGGTTTAGGTTTAGGATTTAGGGCTTTGGTTTAGCGGACTAGGCTTATGCTTCTTGGTTTAGGGTTTAGGGTTAGGTTTATGTCTTAGGTTTTACGGCTTCCTCTTGACTGTTCACGTTCTATTTTTTACGGAACAGTTTGCTGTGTTGTTCGATTCATGTTTCAAGATTCACATTTGAGGCGTTATTTCTTAGTGTTCACGGCCCAGGATCTTGGGAAGATTCTCCCCTTCTATATTGCTTGGATTTTGTGTCATGTGGTATCTGTGACGATTTCGGGTTCTAGGTTTAGGGTTCATTCCCTAATCCTCATCTCAGATTTTTTTGTTAGGTGCCCTTCGCTTTTTAGGCTTTTGTTGTCCCGAATTTTCTCTTAGGACTTATATGGGGTTTTTGTTTTATCCCTTCCATTTTCTCTCTTGGCTAAAGCGTATTTTGGCTATGCTCAACCTGGAAGGCCGGGGTCGCCTGGGTGTCTTCTTGTCTAATCTTTATCTTTGTGAGTTCAAGCATCTAGGTCTAGGGACTACATGCTGTGGTCCCCCTGTAGGGGTGAGATGGCCGCTCTCATGGATTTAGATCTCATAGACCCTGGGTTAAGGGGGTTTTCTGTCCTTCTATTGATTATTCTTTGCTGTCTATCTTTCATTTGTTCTGATTTGGTGCTCTGGGGTGTATTTGCTGTTGCTCAGTGGGGAGTTAGGTCGGATTGACGGTGTAGGAGGGGGGTTTTTGCGTCAGTTTTCTGAGTTACTTTTCATTTCCTATGTGTTCGTTTTAGGTGGATTTTTCCTATGTTTCCTGTGTATTGATCAGGGAGTTGCGATTTGGGGGTTAGATCTTGTCTTGGCGTTATTTCTTAGGTCCTATTTCCTAGTTATGTTGTTAAAGGCTCCACTCTTTAGGGATGACTTTTTTGCATTTAGTGTGTAGGGTTCAGGGAGCAGGTTGTAACTTCTCGTAGTTAGAGTTTAGGTACTTGGTCTCTGGCTTTATTCCTTCAGAGATGTTGTTGCTGATGAGATTTCATAGGCCGCTTTGCTTTCCTTCTATTGGGGATGGGGTTAAGGCTTCTGATTTGCAGTTTAGATTTGTCCCTCTATTATTCACTTGTTATGGTTCAGCTCTAGGATCTATTTTGTAGTTGTTACGCTCATTTTCCTTTATTGGGTGTTTCTTGTTGCGAATGTACTCTTCCTCCCTTAATATTTACGCGTCACCATTTAGTATACACGTGGTAAGCCTTAGTGTGCATACTTTGTTTCCTCTGCTCCGTCTTGTGGGTTGTTTTCTTCTGCTCTCGCCTCCGATTAGTTGCTGTCATAATTCTTCGGCTTAAGGCTTCAGTGCTCACTCGGTTGTTCTACCTCTAGGTTTTGTCTCCTACGGTTTCTTTATTTGTTTTAAGGCCTTAATTTGTTTCTACTTGTCCTTTTATAACCTGTTTGGTGTAGTTTTGTTTAGCTTTCTCATTTGACTCACTTTTTTGGGTAGCTGTTATATGTAACCCCTCTTATTTCTCAGTTTTTAGCTGTCAGACCCTATCCCTTAGTGGGTATGGCTCTGTTTCATATTTAGCCTGTCTTAGGTCATTTCTTGTTTGCTTTCATCCAAGACGGACTCTCGGAGGCGTTTTTTAATTGTAGTATCGCCGAGATATGCTGGCTGGCTTTGATCCGTAATTTTCTTGTTTTAATGGCTACTC